GCTGCAGGGAGTCAGTCTCGCGCAGCAGCAGCATGCCGGTGCCCGCGTACATGATCTCCTCGCACGTCGGCGTCGCTATCTTCTTTGACACCTCGTTCTTCAAGTTCTTTATCACCAACTGTTAACAATATTGACAATTTAAAAAAAATAGATGATAACATGTTTTAAGAATAAATTTTAGTTTTTAATCTTTGTGGTATTAAAAACCATCTAATGGAAAAACATATATTTATTTGAGTTTTTGTAAAACATAAGATTGCGGTATATTTCCGCACAAAGGAATGTATTTAACATTACTCCAGTGATAAATTTTACTTAACGTCTTCTATTGTGTCCTTTGACCTTATGTACCAAGAACATTAACTAATACAATTGGTTATAAGGTCAGTAGACCAACACAAGTGAATTGACCAGCACAAGTCAGTAGACCAGCATAAGTAAGTAGACCAGCATAAGTCAGTAGACCAGTATAAATCAGTAGACCAACTTAAGTCAGTATACCAGTATAACCCAATAGACCAGCATAGGTCAGTAGACCAGTATAAATCAGTAGACCAACTTAAGTCAGTATACCAGTATAACCTAATAGACCAGCATAAGTTAGTAGACCAGTATAATTCAGTAGAGCAGTATAAATTAGTAGACCAGTATAAATTAGTAGACTGACATAAGTCAGTTTACCAGTATGTTTCAGTTGACTAGTACAAGTCAGTAGAGCAGTATAACCCAATAGACCAACTTTCAGTAGAACAAGTTAGTAGTTACCTGGTTGTTCTTCTCCAACGCTGCGAACCTGTTCCTGGCGACCCAGACCGCGGAGGTGGCCTGTCCTCGCGCCGGCTCTATGGAGGGCGCATCAGCACCGTCCCGCGGTATAGCGTACAGTTCGTACGAGTGGTTGTCACCCACACGCCAGCTCACCAACACGCACCATTCAGCGTGGTTCAGCGACATACTGAATAAACACAGAAAAAACTCAAATATTTTTAAACAATTAAAATAATTGTAACTAGCGTAATTAACTCCGAGCTACTGATCCCGTCAAGATGGCGCGCTATTCTCGTCTAATGACATTGACAGCTGTCAGATGGGAAAAGGACGATAACAAAACACAAGCTGTTGCTCGCGACTTCGTCCGCGTGAAATTAAAAAAAATGTACCCTATATTATTCAGCGATAACATAATTTTTAAATAAATTATTTAAATCCGCCCAGTACTTTCAGAGTTTTTTCGATACCAAAAAAATATATTTAACGTAAATATTACCTATAAGGCTGGTTACGACCGCCGCCTTTTATCTGCATCACTGGAGCATCTCTGTTTGTCAGCATATCCAATTTACGTAGTTGTCTGAAATTGTTAAATGTAATTAAAAAAACATAACTTTTTTTTGGAAAAACGGATAATACGGTGTATCTTTTTAACCAAAAAGGGGTAAACATTTAACATAAATAAGAACATTACTTCAAACACCAACTTTAGTTAGAAAAGGTGGGAAAGAAAAGTGGATTTGTCAGTGTACATGCATAGGAAGGGGTAATATCTTCTTTAGCGTCTTCTCTCTGTAATATTTATGGGCAATGGTCGCTTAAAATTACATTTTTTACTACAAATTACTAACTTTTTTCACAATTCCCAGTGGAACTGACCCTTAAGTGCTAGTGCAATTACTGAAATCGTACTCACCTGTCCTTGATATAGAACAATATATTGTTATAAACAGCGTAGGCAGGCCGCTCGCGTTGCAACTTGAACAATATCATGCCGGCGTCGTGTCCCGCAGCGAACAAATTCAACGAGGGGTGTGCCGCCAGCACCCAGTAACTGAAAGAATTTTTTGTTTTTTTAAACTTTGTACACAAAAGAAAATTTTATTAAATATATATTGAAAGGTTGTAGTACAGATGAAAACTCTATTAAAGTTATCGGATTATTCCCAACCCTCACCCCGCTCAGTCCCCACGTGAAAATAAAAAGTTTCGTCCGTCTCACCTTTTAGATCCAATATCACCAATAAGGTGACAGATGCAACCGTTTTAAAATAAAATAAAATCCAACCGTCCACTCGTCACTAAAGGTGGGACGGATGGAAAGCGTTATAAAGGGGTTTACTGTAATTATTAAGTGTAACCTTTATTTGACCTTGACTAGTACTCACCGGTCATGTTCCCTGCGGAAGGTGTGCAAACATGTCCTCTTGGTCATATCCCACACTCGGATGGACTTGTCCTCACTGTTGGACAGGATCAGCTCGTGCTTCGCGTGGAACAGCACGCAGGACACGTTGTTGTAGTGTCCCCGACAAGTATCCACCTCCCAAGCCTGGGTTTAACAATAAAAATTAAATAAACTGACTCTCTAATAAAATTTTATTTGTATAAACTAGACAATAGATGGCAGTGGAAGTGTTAACGTAGATCTAAAGAGATCATATAGCAATTTTTGACCGCCTGGTAGTTTTTAGAGTTACCAGCTAGCAAAAAATTCCCAATTTTTTTCGAAATTCCCACATGTATAACATGCCTTAATATGAGCAAATAAAACTACACAAGCATATGTAATACTTTTCTGTAATTTTGAAATTATGACAATGGCAACATTTCCTCGTGCAGCACCAAATATGACGCTTTCAAGCTGATTTTATTAGTTCACAAAATTGAAAATTGCTATATGATCCTTGTAGGTCTATACCAATAACCAATAGTTAACACATTCAATGCTATTACAATTCTTATTGACAGTGAACTCATCATGTTGTTGTATGAGTTGGTAAAAGTGAATTATAAAGTCGTCGGTTTGAATCCTGCCAAGTTGACTATTTTAATGAATGATAACCAATAAAATTGTAGTATTATCAGTTTACACATTTTATGTTGTGATAAATAATCTAATTTAAAATTAACGTTATTCATATTGTTATCTGTAAATTGTATTTTATGCTATTGTACAATAAAGAAAATTTAGAATAACTTGTTTCTTTTGTTTTTTAATTACAAACCATTGGATATGCTAACCGATTACTAGTAGTATGTACTTTATGTTTTTCTCTTTTAAACTAAAACTAATTTGATTTAATATCTTATTTTTTAATTATATTAGACATATGGATGAATGTTTGTTAAAGTTTGTCGTCTAAACTGCTGAACAGATATCAATGAAATTTGGCATAAATGTACAGCACAGCAAGAACACATAGGTTAAATGCTTTTGTTTTTTTAATTCTACCCAGACGATGTCGCGGGCGAAAGCTAGTATGCAGGTGAAATTAAAAGTAATAATCACCTTAGCATCATTCATTCTCCAGAACTTGACTTGTCTGTCGTCAGCCGCGGACACAATCAGTGGCAGCGAGGGGTGGAATGCTGCCCAGTTGACACCTCTGTCATGTCCCTCTAGAACATGCTTCACTACTGCATCCGCCTAAAATACACACAAATAAAACATCTTACTAATCTTACTAATATTATAAATGCGAAAGTTTAGATGAATGGATGGATAAATGGATGTTTGTTAGAGTTTGTAACCTAAACGGCTGAACGGATCTCGATGAAATTAGGCATAGAAGTAGAGGATAGTCTGGAAGAACACTTAGGCTACTTTCGTTTTTTTTAATTCCACGCGGACGGAGTCGCGGACGAAAGCTAGTATAATATAAAACATAATCAATAACACTTTTACCAGACTTAGCACCAAGCTTGATGTTTGACAAATGTTTTTCAACATATCCTAGCAAAGTATCAGTGGAATAAAAGCGTAGGTGAATCAGGGGGTTAAGGTGAAGTACTTGACATGTAATTTACATGTCCTGGGTTTGAATCCCGCCATGTACCAATATGATTTTGTCTTACGGTCAGGAAAATCATCGAGAGGTCTGCATATATCAAAAAAGAAATTCAAAGACAAGTGTGCAGTCAACCTACAGGAGGCCAGTATGAGTAATTTTGGCTTAGTGGCCCATAAAGTAGGCTCTAAACCACTTAATGGATATGTATAGTGAGCTGGTGATAATAACAATGTATTATACTTCAAGTATTTTTATGATAGGCAACATCATTTTTTCGCCTTACTATTCTGGATTAAATATCTATAATTTATTACATGTTTAACAGCAACTGTTCCATGATAAACAACTACCGAAAATATTCAATGTAAAATGTTGACCCACTAAAATGTACATAGCATTCAATGTGTTAAAAATTACCATTAGATGTTCAGTCATGAGTACCCATCACCATTAAATGATTATTTTGTTTTAAGAATAAAGCAAAAGTCCATACATTTCCTCATCCAGGCATGAAAGATCCCATAAATAAAATATTTGATTACATACATATATTACCTGACCAAACAAATCTGTAGCTTGTGGGTTCCTCAAATGTTCTGCTAACCCAGTAGGTCCGGGAGCCACACTCTTCTTCCTGAGTCCGGAGAAGTCCCACACTCGTACAGATTGGTCTAATGAAGCTGATACCAATAGGTCTTCGTTGGGATGGAATTGTGCACACATAACATAATGGTTGTGTCCAGTGAGTACACTGATGCATTGACGTGATTGCCAGTTCCATATTCTTATTGTCTGCAAGTAGATTAAAAGATTAACTTATGGATAAAGCTATTGTCAAATATCTTGATGGCTCAGAACACCAGCAGTGTGTAGAGTTGTATGTGATCTTGAGCTACACAGATATTTGAAATGGCATATACCTATGTTCAGAAAGATGTTCGTATTTTAGTTATTTTTGTAAAGTTTTTTTTTTTTTTAAAGGGAATATTGATTTTTGTACTCATTTATTAAACACAAAACTGAGGAGTTGTTTCAATAAGTTTTTTACCAATTGAAAGTGCTACTTTTGGTAACTTTTTTTAAGTTTTTTACAAGGAATGACTACACTTAAAATAGAAACAGAAATAATTTTATTGAAAAACAAGAAACAATTACAATAACATTTATACCAACTAAAAGATAATTAAAAATTGTGGTTAATATATGATTAATCTGATGATGCCCACACTAGGCAATGCCTGTATCGTGAGCACCGAAAACAGCAGGAAAAATCTTTTCATACATTAATTACTAAAAACCTATGCTTACGGCGTTTCAGTAATATTTAGAATTATATATTGCTCCAGTATAAATAGAATGTATATATATCTTGTCATAATAGATTAGAAAATACATAAAAATACATATAAATGCAGTTAATATCTTACCTGATCATCTGAAGCACTCAAGATCCACGGATATTCATGATGGAAAAATGTTGTCCTGATGTAATCTAAGTGGCCAAGTAAAGTGAAGAGACATCTTCTTTGATTGGTATTCCACACCTAAACAAAGATCATAATATAAATATACTTATTAAAAAAACAAAATTATGTGTTCTTCCACACTATCCTCTACATCTGTGCTATATTTAATCAAGACAGAATCAGCCATTTATGCTACTCTAACAAACATTCCTCCAACTTAACTTTCACTTTTAAAGTATTAGCACAATTTAGTTGAAATTGTGTAAAAGCTTAAAAGAGTTTAAATATTTACATGACATAGAGTTGCAAAGATAATACAATTTAAAAGAATTTAACCCATAAGTTGCAGTTCAAATATTCTCTAAGTTATATATAATTTAAATTAGTGTATAAAATACATCTAAAATAGTACTACTTACTACTTTTTTTTGTTTTATATTCAGGCGTATTATACATTACTTATATTATTTGCATAGATAGTGTTCCAAAAGATTAATATGTAAAGAAAATAAATTGGCCTAATAAGAATAAAAAAAAAACTCTATGGATTTTAATGCATATCCTGTAAAACAAAATATATAGACTGCCTGGATATTGCGTCGTTTAATCCTGAATATAAACAAATTGTCTAAATCAAGGCGATTACATCAGTCTGTAGAGGTAGTTAGTGAGCTGATTATTTCAGGGAATTTCCTGTACAAACCTTGATCTTGTAATCGTCACCTCCAGATACAAATAAGGGCTGCTGTATGTGGAAGCATATGCCACGCACAGGGCCGTCATGTTCGTCAAATTTCTCCAAGAGTGTACACATTCGATAGTCCCATAGCTGAATCACACCATTGTGCAAACTGGCAAGGACCCATGGCCGTTTGGAATGAAACGATATACCCTTCACTCGAGCGGACTTAGTCTCAAATTTTGTCAACATTTCTTCTCGTTTTTGCAAGTATTTACAGTTCTTTTTATTTCAAAAAATTATCTCAAACAATTCACGCCAGCAATAACGTCGACATGTCAAACGTCAAACCGGCTGACGTGACACGTCAGTAGCCTAAAACAGCGAGAGCAATAATTGATTTTAATTGCTAAATTATTGCTTAAAATAATGTAATACAGCTAGTAACGATAACCTCTACTTTTTATTAACCATGTACTTTGTTTATCCGTATTTTTAACGTGTTGTTATAAAAATATTTAACGCTTTGGTGTGTGCTGTACTCTTTTGCTGCTAAATTGTCCAATATCGTAAATTTTCTCTGTGTACTCTTTGATTATTGGTAATGTGACAGATGTTTGTAAACAGTTTATCCTAATTTTTCCACATTGTAATATACTTTTAAATACATTATAAACTTACACAACCAAAATTTAAACGGTTTATTAGAAGTGAATGTATAAATCTAGGAGTAGACTTTTAAATTAAATATAACCTCACTCCTATGAGCAATGGAGCAAGATAAATCACAATCTATTGGTAAAATTTGTATACCAGGCATGAGATTATGTACAGCAACTAAAGATCGCATCGGTGGGCCAGGTACAAACGTCCTCCAAGGTTACATATATGCTACATTGGCAGGCATATTAAAATCGATCGAAGACAAAGAAAAGAAGGTAAAAAGTAACCTATCAAAGAAAACTAGTTTATTTCTAAATTTATTTAGTTTGAATAAATTTTCAGGTTACAATCATATCTGTAGAAAGTCCAACAACACCAAGTATCCTGCCGAAACCGGGAGATGTGGTCACAGCAAAGGTGACTGTTGTGAATTCCCGTCTTGTTCACTGCATAATACTATGTGTAGGTCCACACCTGGTCAGACCATATAGAGGGGTCCTCAAGAAAGAAGATATCAAATCAACGGATAAAGATAGAATTGATCCATATAAATGTTTCAGACCTGGAGATGTTATTTTAGCTAAAGTTGTATCCTTTTTAACATAGTATTTGTTTTTTATAATTAAATGGATAACAGTAAAGGCAATGCAAAACTTACTTTACTCAATATTTACTGACTACACGAAAAAGTAAAAACCTTGTTTATAAATGTAAAATATTTGTTACTTTACAAGTTGTAAGATTTTAAATTAAAAATCTTGTAAGATAATAAGAAGTTAGAAAATAGCCTTATATCAATTTTACAGCTTCCCTTGACAGAGATTCATTGGTACCATCTTACAACAGCTGAAAATGAACTTGGAGTTGCCATAGCAACAGCAGAAGGCTCACCTCAAGGTGTCAATATGGTACCCATAAATTGGTCTGAAATGCAGTGTCCAAAGACACTAGTAAAAGAGCCACGGAAAGTGGCGAGGATTCTTCCAGATTACTTTGATCAAAACCAAGTAATTTCTTACACAGATGCAGAAAATGATACAAAATTAGTGAATGGTACTAAATAACAATAAACTATAAGTATTAAGGATCTTGTTTTAATTTAATGTAGCCGATCTGCTCTAGTAGTGGTTCATGTTAAAAGATAATTTTCAACAAATTATTTATTTATTTTTAAATAATGGTTTACTTATAACGGATATCTACATCTCTCTTATTTTATGGAATAACTTTCACTTGTTTCTATGCTCCATGAGGCGAATCAAAGTTTTTCAAATTGCTCTTATCAGCATTGGTTAGTACTGATAATTTCATTTAAATCTACCGGCGTTTTATGCAAGCACGTACTTTTTTTTACAAAACTCTATACCATATAATGTAATAAAATTGGAGTGTGTAATATCAAAAGAAAAATCCAGATGTCAGGAAGATGATATATTTGCGTTGCTGATAACGAAAATTGCCTGCCTGTCTGTTTGTCCGCAAGCCGCATTTGTTCCGGGTAATCCCCGAAACGACTTGATCAATTTCGACCGGACTTTTATTGAAGGGTAGCTGACATAGACGAGCACATTATAGACGACTTTTTATCTTAATATTGCATGTACGAAATCGCGTGCGTACTTAATGTACGAATTACTTAGATTTCGACTTTCAAAAAAAAATACTTGTTTTGCATTTTGATAAGGAAATCACGAGATTTATGAACGAAACGGTACGTACGTAATCTGTCAACTGTCATGTTTTATCACTGATTTTTATTCATCTATAATTTTTTATGTATACTTCCAGAATTATATTTTACGGGGATTTATTTTTCTTAACATGTATTATACGTTCAAGTGTAATAAGTGTATACCTTAAATCATTCCAATATTTTCGCTTTAAAGCGTTAACAAACATTAGGTCATAACTTCTAGTTATCACTAAACAAACTTTTGTGTAGTACTTGTGAATAACTGTAGTTATAGTTTAGTATTTTGTGATATTTCTTATCGTGAAGACGTATACAGGGAAGTAAGAAAATGAAATTTGCGGAGCACTTGAGTGCACATATAACGCCGGAATGGCGAAAACAATATATCAACTATGAGGTAAATATTTTTTATGTATCATTTAGGAATAGTTTATTAATTACATTATTTACAACTTAAGCTTTGTTACTATCGACGACTTTTAACAACTAGTGTACATAATATAAATTTAAATTTGTTTGTTTAACAATATTAAATATCTCTGTTAGTCTATGTAATTAGGAACTCAGAAGTGTTATATAAAAAATCTGTGACATCCTTGAAATTTTATTTCTTCAAATATGTGTCTAATGTCACACTTTTCATGTAAATAAACCAGATGTTCTAGAATATTGTTTAAAATAACATGAGATAAACAGATATTGATAAATAATTGGACATTATTAGTCTAACCACACAATAAATACAATATGGCATTTTTTTATTTATATTAAAAGATCTATGTGTATCTATACTAATGTTATAAAGAGGAAAGATTTGTATTGTTGTATATATTGCAATAACTCCAAAAGTTTTGGGCAGATTAAAAAAAAATCATTCAATTTAAAAACTATTAGAAAGGTATGTTATTAGTGAGTAACATAGGCTATGTTTTTTTATTATTTTTTTAATTTCATGCGGGCATTCATTGAAAAATTAGATATCCTTTTTTCCCAAGGTTCAAATAATTTAAATAAAAGGATCTTTGGAACTTGCCTTACAATTGTGTCTTGCCATATATTGAATAAATATGACTTGGAATGGTTATCAAAACTCAAATAAGATGTTATAACAATTACACATTATTAACAGAGTTGAAACTGTAGTATAGACTAGCTGTTGCTTGTTAATTTGCCCGTGTGAAGTTAAAAAATGTAACCTATGTGTAACAGCTTTTAATGGTGTAAGAATTTTTGAAATCTACCCAGCAGTTTTCGAGTTCTATAAATATATACAAAAATTAAAAAACACAAATCTTTCCTCTTTATAATATAAGTATAGATTAAATTACAATTTTATTTTAATTATCAGTTACAATTATGTATTGAAGTTGCAAACATTTTTAGTTTAATTATCAAATACTTCACATCATAGGTGTCGGCAAGAGCTGAGAGGCAAAAAAAACAAATGCAAACAGCCAAAACCAACAATCAGTTATTGTTATATTAGAATATTGAAATTGTAAAGTTTATTTCAGGAAATGAAAGCAATGTTATACACAGCAGTGGAGGAGGCTCCATCGGCAGAGAATGTGGAACCTGAAGTATTATCGAGACATTTTGCAAACTTTGATGAGACTTTCTTTCACTATTGTGATCAGGAACTTAAGAAGATTAATACTTTTTACTCAGGTATAAATATTAAATTAATTTAACATGTAAAGAAGTTAAAAAAAAACAAGTACTATTCTATTGACAACATTTATTAAGACTGTATTCATATGTAAATACTATTTAAAAAAAATACTAAATTTTTCTTGTCATACTTTTAGAAAGATTTTTGTAGATAGTCTTTGATGTAGATATTCTTAAATGTACTTAATATTATGTTTTTATATTTTTAGAGAAACTGGCAGAGGCTACACGTAAATTCGCAACTTTACAGAGCGAACTCAAATCGCAATTCGATATGATGAAGCCAAAAAGCGGAGGCGACAGCAAAAAGGCGATTCCGCGCAGGAAAGTACAGGAATTGAAACTGGCGTTCAGCGAATTCTATCTCAGTTTGATACTACTACAGAATTATCAGAATTTAAATTATACTGGCTTTAGGAAGATATTGAAAAAGCATGATAAGGTAAGGATCATTTATTCATGGTGATATAGCCATTCGTGTCAAAATTAATTTGTCTCTGGTTGGATTATTTTTCTGTTAATTGCTGCTGTCGCATTTAGTATAGACCAACAAGGATATCTGAATCGGTGGGCATAAGTGAAACGAAATTAAGACGTCTAATTTTTGTCCCTTTCCTTTCCATGCTTTTCTTAAGAGGAAGGAATGGGAAGGAAGAGTGAATTTGGCGGTGGAGGAGATGCATAGGAAGGGGAAATCTCCCCTTTATGTGCGTCTCCTCCGTCAATGAAGTCAAATGTAGTAGGCAACGCATCTGCAATTGCGGATGTTTATGGGCAGCGGTCGCTTTCCATTTCGGTGGATTCAGGGGGCCTGCTTGCTTGTTTGCCACATTATATTATAAAAAAAAGACTACTAGTAACCTCCTGTTAAAAGTGTCAAAGATGTTTTTGTAGTTAGCCGTCTTGTTTTAATATAGTTTTACTTATAGACTAATAGTTCTTTCCACAATAGCAGACATCTCATCATTCCAGATATCCTTGCGTGGCTATGATTGTACTATTGGTATTCTCAATGTCAAAATTGTCAACCGTGACAGTGTATTAACATACAAAACTTGTAAATAGTTACAATTTATTGTCAATAGTTGTTAAACGTTAGCAATGGTGCGCTGTGGCGAGCGGAACACGTGGAATCATCCCACTTCTATACAAACAAAGATATTGATCGACTGATCAGTGATACCGAGGCTACAGTAACTAATGAACTGGAAGGAGGGGATAGGCAAAAAGCCATGAAGAAGCTAAGAGTACCACCGCTAGGGGAACAACAGAGCCCGTGGACTACATTCAAAGTGGGCCTGTTCTCTGGATCGTTTATAGTATTGGCTATCACTGTGGTTTTGTCTGGTAAGTTCTCTATACAAAACGCAAGAATATGCTTATCCCTTTCATTCTCTTTGATAAGAAAGAGATATCGAAACCCTGTCTCTGGATTTTCTTTGCATGTTCGATATTGCGTCTCATTTAAATGTGCGCTAGATTAGTTCCATTTTTATCCGCAATATAACGAGGGAGATATTCCTGATCAGACTATACTCGGTTTTACAAGTTCAGTGCTAAGAATTTTTTTTTTATTGTTTTACTGAACGTTAGGACAACCTAAGTACTTTTAAGTAGAAGTAGATTAAGTTGTTATCATAGATATAGATTATAGATAAGTTATTTTATTTATGTTTGATGTATATGAGACATTTTTGAAATATAATTTTAATATTGTAAATGACAACACTAATCAAATTTTCTTAGGACAAAGGGTCTTTTTTCTCTCATTTATGTTCTGGATTACGTACTCTTAGGCCATATCTAGTTGAGTGTACAGCTATGTTAAGATCTAAATATTTGCAAACATACAATGTTGGGTATGCAGCGATTATAAATGGATTAACAGTACCTTAGATAAAACTAAATATTGGTCTGATAACAATGAACCATAAATTGTTTTTGTTCTTATGCAGTAAATATTCCTTATCTTGTAGCAATTACTGACCGTAGCTAATCTATGAATATGTTTGCCCAGATTATATTTAACTGGTATTTATTGCGCTTATAAAATAACCTCAAAATTATAAATTACTAGCTTTTACCCGCGGTGTAGAGAAACTGAGAAAGTATGTCTTCGATACTATGTTTTATATCTGTGCCAAATTTTATTGATATCCATTAAGCTGTTTTAGAGATAGTAACAAAGATCTATCCATCCATCCATCCAAATTTTTCAATTCACTTAATTTTTTTTAAATTTAAAGACCCCTCAAAAATATCAAATATATGGGTAATTTGTACCATTTTGTAGTCCGTATAAGTAATTCTTGGTAACTGTGTAACATAATTTATAAAGCTATGCTATCTGTCTCTTTCAGCTCTATTCCATGAAGGTGCGACGGAAAATTTCAAAACAGCATTCCGGTTATACCGCGGCCCATTCCTTTTAGTACAATTTATATTCCTGATAGGCATCAATGTGTACGGCTGGCGGTCATCTGGAGTCAATCATGTCCTGATCTTCGAATTAGATCCGAGGAACCATCTTTCTGAACAGCATTTGATGGAATTGGCAGCGATATTCGGTGTTGTGTGGGCACTTAGTATACTAAGCTTCATATATAGTGCAAGTTTGAGTATACCGCCGTTTGTAAACCCGTTGGCGCTTGTTATTATAATGATAGTGTTCCTTGTGAATCCATTAAAAGTGTTCAGACATGAAGCTAGATTCTGGTTCTTGAGGATATGTGTAAGTAAATTTTTTTATGAATGAATCCGCAGACTAGTTGTTTAGCCGATTAGCGAGTAATTGAGTAATTAAATGTTTCAGTACATAAAATATTTTATCGATTAGATTAATAAATACAGATGAGAGTTTTTTAGCTTCTAAATTACTTGGTACTCGAACAAATTTTTATCTTAGTGCGAGGACATATCTAAATTGGTTAAAGTTATCAACTTCGTTCGCTTTGAATTTTTAACAGCCTACCTTACCCAGTGAAAACATAGCTTTTTAATGATGAAAGGGTTTTTGAAATCAACCCAGTAGTTTTCGAGTTATTTCTATACATACAAAAATACAAATCTTTTTTTCTTTATAATATTAGTGCACATATAGAAGAATAGTATAGTAAGTTTCCCTTGTTATTCTTTTTTCGAAGGGTCGTATTCTAGCGGCTCCGTTCATGCCAGTGCTGTTCGCGGATTTCTGGCTGGCGGACCAATGGAACTCTTTTGTTACCGCCTTCTTGGACTTTCATTATCTCATTGTCTTCTATATCGCCGGCGGAGATTGGTTTAATGTCAATGGTGAGTGAGATATATTGATTTTTAATTATAAAAAGAAAGTTTTAAAATTAGCACCAATCGATAAAATCGAAAAGTGGTAAAGATATAACGAAGAAAAAACAGCTATTGCACTAAAGGTTACGTCTAGTCGGTTCTACTACTAGCCCTCGGAACATTTTTATGGCGCCTTCTTGTTTTTTACAATGACAAGCGATCCCCTTCTTAAGAGAGTTACGTGACAGTAATTTGTAGAACTGTGACGCCCTAGCCGGTTGCCCAACTGTGCTTTATTCTAATGCCGGCACTAATTACATCTATATTTTAAAGATAATAAACCATAGTAATAGTAGTGATTTTCATTTGGCACGTCGGAGACAAGAATATTACTCTGTTTCACGCGCCAACTAAAGTTTTAATTTTTTTAATTAATTTGCGGTTCGCAAACTCATCAGTAAAAATGATTGTTACCCAATTTCCGTTATAGATTCATTCGAATCGGAGTCGTGGTTTATAATATCTCGTGCGCTGGTGAACATAGTGCCGGCGTGGACTCGCTTCTGGCAATGTCTGCGGCGCTACAGAGACAGCCGGGAGGCGTTCCCGCATTTGGTTAACGCGGGGAAGTACTCTACCACTTTCTTTGTGGTACTCTTCGCTACGTTACGGACGATGTATAGCCGTGAGTATTTAAGGAGTTTTGGATGGATGGATGTTTGTTAATATTGTCAAAACGGGTTAACAGATCTCGATGAAAGGACTAATAAATCTGGAAGAAATAGGCTATTTACTAAGATTGTAAAGTAGTGTTCATAATATTATCTACAAGTGTGGAAGAACTACAAAAGATAGCTGGTAGAAGGAAGATGCACGCGAGAATATAATAGATGACTTTTACTTTTTTTTTAATCCGCGCTAACGAAGTGTTATGTATGTCAGAAAAGTACGCAGACCCGTATGAGAATCCGTTCTTGTACGCGTGGTTCGCGTGCCAGCTGACGTCATCGCTGTACACTTACACGTGGGACGTGAAGATGGACTGGGGTCTCTTTAGTTGCGGACCCTCCGCGGAGAATAAATTCCTTAGAGAAGAGATCGTGTATAGTCCTGGGGTGAGTGTTTAGAAGAAATTGTAAATGAAAACAAATGATTGGTGTTTCTTATAATATCTAGATTTAAATGTTAATCACTAATGCTTTGACTAAACTATCGCACAACTACTTAGTCTCGCTTTGATTGCTATGAGCTTATATGGAGGTGAACACACTACTCGATTTTTAGTTGTGCAACTAAACAGTTGCCAATCTATTTATTCGACTTCTGATTTTGATTTAAAAATCGCACAACTGTTGTGTGATAGTTTAGATAAATGTGTGCGCTTGCTTTAAACCGGGAACGTTTTAAAAATGTAACCAAAATAAATGTCAAAATAACCTAAAAATCATGCTTCTGACAAATGGAGTATTTGACATTGACAGATATCAAAGAGTAGTTTATTTTGATTTTTTTACATGTATTTGATTCAGCCATTGTAATAGGGAGTCCAAACAAGCTGCTTTGTCACTTTCTCTTACAGCAGTTGTTTCCCTTTTCATGGAATCTGTAAATTTATATTAACGATTATAATAAAAAAAAAAATAATCCTTTCTTTGATGAAGGATTTGACTGATAATCGTTTTTTATTAGTTCTACTACTTCGCGATAGTAGAGGACTTTGTGCTTCGCTTCGTGTGGACAGTGTCCTTCGTGCTGACGGAGAACAAACTCGTCAGCGGAGAGACTATGGTCTCTATACTGGCACCGCTAGAAGTCGTCAGGTAAACCACGACGGTAGTGTAGATGGTTATATTTAGTTTATTTAGTGTAGAGGTTATATTTATAATAGTACGTATTTGTACACTTAAAACTGGATAGTGGGTTTTGAGATAAATTTAAAGAATATTGACTATATTTTGATATGAAAAATGATGACTTAAATACCAATTTTATATTTTGTAAATCTTTACTAATTTTACTAAATCCGAATGTTGGGTTGTTGTTACGGAGTATTCTAGGACGGCTCACGGACCTCGATACAATTTGACATACGTAGAGCATAGTATAAAAGAGCACAGGATACTTAGTTTTTTTTAAATTCCGCACGAACGAAGTCGCCAGCAAAAGCTAGAGTTTAAATCATCGTTTTTGTTTAATATCTATCTTACTAATATTATGATTACGAAAATTTGATGGATGAATGGATGTTTGTCAGAGTTTGTAGCCTAAACGGCTCAATGGATTTCGATAAACTTTGGTATAGATGTAGAGAATAGTCTGGAAGAACACATAGGCACACACTTTTGTTTTTTTTTTTAATTCATGCGGACGTAGTCGCGGGCGAAAGCTAGTTTTTCTATATTTTTTAAATTGATTTCCTGATACGATATTATCTGTATTATAATAGTGATAATATTGTATAGACGTTTCATCTGGAACTTCTTCCGCCTGGAGAACGAGCACCTGAAC